AGAAAAAAACCCAGATCATTTCCAACAATAATTAGGAAAGAAAAGATGTGGTGAAAAAGCTGTACAAACGGCTTTAGTCACCCAAATATATTTGTACATAGAACTAGAAACACACAAACCCTCACTTCATTAAAACTATCCATACTTCAGACTCCTGACTACTCAGAAGGCCCTTGACTGGAAAGCATCACTCAAAATAACAAAGTTTAACCAAACTTCTCATATACTACAGTATCCATGTGTCATGGATTGAATTATGTCCCCCCAAAAATGTGCGTATCAATTTGGTTGGCCATGATTCCCAGTATCGTGTGATCTTCCTGTATGTTGTAAAGCCTGCCTCTATGATGTTATTGATGGAGGATGGGTAGCAGCTGTTAGTGAAGCAGGACTCAATCTACAAGATTGGATTGTGTCTTGAGGCAATCTCTTGAGATATAAAAGCGAAAAGTGAACAGAGAAACATGGGGACCTCATACCACCAAGAAAGCAGTGCAGGGAGCAGAGCGCGTCGTTTGGCCTTGAGGTTCCTGTGCAGAGAAGCTCCTAGTCCGGGGGAAGATGGATGAGAAGGCCAAGAGAGAAAGCCTTCCCCTGGAGCTGACGCCCTGAATGTGGACTTTTAGCCTACTTTACTGTGAGGAAATAAACTTTTCTTTGTTAAAGCCATCCACTTGTGGTGTTGCTGTTTTAGCAGTACTAGATGACTAAGACACCATGTGAAGATCTACCTATAGCTATGTGAATTATTTCAAACTACCACTAAACTATATATTTTTAGGTATGAAGAACCTCTCTTTAGTATTGGTTAGTCTAATAAATTTTTTTAACCTTACATTTATAATGTTTTGCTCCTTCAATTACTATTTCTTGAGGGCCCACTACAGTCACTGTTCTGAACACTGGGATTACAGCGGTGAAGATGATGTTCTTCCTCTCAGGAAGTTATATCATTTGATTCTGATGCAAATCAAAACCTCACACAAAAAATCAGGCATTGTTAATTCTCATTTTTAAAATGAAGAAACCTAAGCTTTAAAGAGGATGAGTCATAACCCAGGTCAGGTAAGTGGCACAGTCTGGATCATTTTAGGCCTCGTGATGCCCAGTCCAGTCATCTTCCCACCAAGAGAAGGCCCAAAGAAAAACAACTGAGCATTTCCAAATATGAAAAACCTAAAACGAAGATTAAAAAAAAAAAGTTCCTTTAGTACAAAGGTTACTCCTCCAAGCATCTATTTAAACACAAACACACAAGGATTTAGACTGTTTTTAACTTGCATAGAAATTAGCTCACTCTAGGGTCCAGGCGTGAGCCAACTGGCTCACTCTAGGTGAGATAAGGAAGGGAAAAAGGGACTGAGCCCCTAGGCAAACGACCCTGAACTGAAAACATGTGCTTCACTAATGACACAAAACCCATTATCTTGGAACGTGCAATAATGAACGAACAACGCATTCAGCTCTCAATGTAGTTCCTTGATGTTTTTCAGAAGAATCGGCCTGATCTTGTCCCTGGAGCATGCGCAGATATCCGGAAGGTGACCGACAGACCCTGACAGGAATCCAGCTGGTACCACGGGGTAACTGCGCAGGCGCAGCATCCCATAATAAGTCCTGCCATCCAGTCCCAGGAGCCTTTGTTATGGGTTCCATCTTGAATTACCTCTTGTGCGCACACCTGATCTTCATAACCCCGCCTCTTTGATGAATAAAGATGATGCCTTTTCCCCCCGGCTAAAAACCTTTATAAGCCCTAGCCAATCTTTTACTTGGGAAGACAAAGGCTAGCGTCGTTTTGTCCCTCTTTGTCTCCGCTCGCGAGCTACTTTTTCTCAATAAAGCTTCGTTCGTGCAGAAAACTTGAGCCTCTCCTGGACATTCTTGGTCAGTAGAAGGCAAGAACCTCAGAGGGGCTGCCCAGGTTGGGTAGAAGACCCAGCAACATAGGGTCCAGGTGGAAAACCTGGCGGCATAATGGTTAAGAGCTATGGCTGCTAACCAAAAGGGCAGCAGTTTGAATCCACCAGGTGCTGCTTGGAAACTCTGTGGGACAGTTCTACCCTGTCCTGTAGGGTTGCCATGAGTCCGAATCGACTCTACAGCAACGGGTTTTTTGGTTTTGGGTCCAGGCAAGGAGCCCTGGTGACACAGTTAACCAGGCTGTTAACAGAAGGAGGCTGTTTACAGCCTTAGAAACCTTATGGGGCAGTTCTACTCTGTTCCACAGAGTCGCTATGAGTTGGAATCCACTCTGTGGCAACGAGTTGGGATCCAGGATAGATGATTCTCAAAGCCTGCAGCTGGGAAGGCTCTCCTGAAAGCCCCGCAGCCCCACTTTCTGCAGCTTTGGGGAAGGGGTGGTGGTGATGCAGCAGCGGCACAGGGCATCCATCCTGACAGATACCTAGCACCTGCCGGGACTCCTTCAAGTCCAGGCTCTGATGTACAGTTTTGCAAAACCTAGAAACACAGTATCCAAACCCCACAAGAGAGAAGGGGTCTCCAACTCTTCACTCCAGCGGGATTTGCACTGCAGCCGGAGGCTGGGCTGTGGCTTCCAGGCGACCCTGAGGCTCTGCATCACGCCAGTCGAGTCTGGATGGGAGCCAGAAAACGAGGATGCAAGACGTTTACCTTGGGAAAAACTGACACGGCCACGAAACTGTTCAGGGTGAGCATCCAGAGCTCAGGGAGGGATAAACCCAGAGGTAAAGCACCTGTCAAATTTCATGTCACAGGGATTGAGGAAAAATGTGTTCATCAGGTAAGCACCCATATATTTTTGGCCCTCCACTGGAATTTCCTCTGCACCACGGTAGTTTCTTCTTTCACGAAAGTACTAACTTCGAAACGACTAAACACTAACTTTTTATCTTTGGGGGTATGTCCATACAGGCGTACCCTACAACCGTTTTAATGAGTGGGGTGCAGGGAGGAATGGGCACTCTCTTGGCCCTAAACGTGTTGGTGGCAGAGTGGGCGGATCAGCCTTCGCTCCTTGCACCTTCCGTTTTTCGAGATGAGGCCGGGAAAAGAAGGAAAAAGGAAATGAAACACGGGACCCAAACGCTGCTGCTTCCGCCGACGACGCGCAGGAGCGGTAGGTTGACGTCGCCTTTGGTGTTCCGACTTCCGGTCGGGCCAGAACCGTCACCCGACCCTCGCTTCCAGCCCGGCCACTTCCTCCCCCCCGCCGCCCGCCGAGCCCGCATCCCCGGGTTCCGCCCCAGCCCCGCTCCGGGACGCGGCTCCGCCCCACCAGGCCCGCTCCTCGGCGGGCGACGCGGCTGCGTAGTGGATACTCAGCTTCTCTTCCGGCACTCCCCCGAGAACACGGACAGATCGCAGAGCCGGATTTTCAGGGTCCTTGGAGCCAGCCTGGAAATCCCCACTTTCCAAGTTACGCCCTTCCAAGTCACCTTTCCCTTCTGCCTCCCCTCCCTCCAGTGGTGGGACCCTGAGCTAGGGTCTCCAAGAGATTGGTCCAGGCTTGGGCTACTTTTATTTTTATTTTGCTCCTGATATAGTATACAAAACAATGCCAAAAGCATCCCCAGGCGTCAAGGACTTCGTGTTTACTTCCTAAGGTATGGAAGGATGGGGAGGCAGGACCGGCTGAGATGAAAGGGGACGTGTCACACTGACCCGGGAGCTCAGCTCAGTCAGCCTTAGCCCCTTCTCATTAAGTTGTGGAAAAGAAGGGGGGAGGGGGCGACCATCCCTCAGAGACCACAACAAACATTTGTCTCCTATCTGTAGGATCACTATGAGTCGGAATCCTCTCGAGGAAATGAGTTTTGTCTATGGAGCATCACTTAAGAGGAAATGAACCCTGTTAAAGGGTAACATCAAGGAGCCCTGGTGGCGCAAATGTTTAAGCGCTGGGCTGCTAATTGAGAGGTTGGTGGTTAGAACCACCAGGGAGAAAGACCTGGTGATCTGCTTCCTTAAGGATTACAGCCAAGAAAACTCTATGGGGCAGTTTTACTCTTGTTACACAAGGTCGCGATGAGTCAAAATCGGCTGGACTGCAGCCAACAGCAACAAGGATCGCCTCCAGAGGAGGGATAAAAGGAAAAGCCACAATTCTTCTTAGGCTGAGAGAGTGGAGATGGGGCTGTCAGTGTGGAGACTTCCATCTGCCCCTAGATCCAAACCATGGAAGGCAGAGACCAAAACAGACATGGGAGACAGACAGCAGGCTTCGCCAGCGTAAGCCTGACATACTGTGCTGGATCTGACTTCTGGGCTTACAAACGATGCCATTTCCACACAGAGCAAAACAACTCTTCCAGGCCAGTGGATCTCCAGCAGAACCACTTAGAGCTTATTGCATCAGAGCAAATGCTACTGTGTTAGGTGGTGTGGGACCATAGTCTCAGGGGACAAAGTAGTAATTAGCATAAAATAGTTCACAAAGATAAATGGTCCACATCCTAGATTGGTGAGTAGCATCTGGGGTCTTAAAAGCTTGCATGGCCATTTTAAGATACAACTATTGGTCTCCACTTGTATGGAGCAAAAGAGAATGAAGGTAATCAAAGGATGAAAGAAGAAACTAGTCCACGGGACTAATAGCCCACACGATGTACAGCCTTCTCTAACCTGAGACCCAGACTAGATGGTGCCCAGCTACCACTACCAACCATTCTGACCAGGGACACAATAGAAGGTACCGGATAGAATGGGAGAAAAATGTAGATCAAAACTCAAATTCCTAAAAAGGCCAGACTTACTGGACCAATATAGACTAGAGGAACCCCTGAGAATATTGTCCTAAGGTAACCTTGGAACTTGGATTTGAAGCTATTTCTGTAGGTCACCTTCCAGCCGAATAATAGATTGGCTTATAAAATAAATAAAATCACCTGTGAGTAGTGTGCTGCCTTAAACAATTAACTACATGAGACCAAACGGTCAACATTTACCAAAAGAAAGATAAGAAGGCAAGGAGGGGAAAGGAAGCTAGATCAATGGAAACAGAACAGAATGGAAATAATGAGAATGCTAACACATTGCAAAAGTAACGAATGGCATGGAACAATATGTATAAAAATTGTTAAAGGGGAACCTAATTTGCTGTGTAAACTTTCATCTGAAACATAATAGTAAAAAAAAGGAACAAATGTCATCCACGGCTAGATGGCAACAGATGAAGGCAGATGTGCCTTTTGTGAAAAGACTAATTAAGTCCAGATCTTTCTCTGCACTTTATTTTTGCTGGCTAGATTTGTCATTTTGCTGTTAGAACAAGCTTACTACATACCTCAGATTGTCTTCCCTTGACTTCGTCATCCTGAGCAAAAGCATGACTCCATCACCTGTCTGGGCACATACTGAGTCTTTGTCAGATGGTGTCAGCACGTCCTGCATACTCAATGGCAACCTTGAACAAAACATCCACCAGCTCCCCAGGCTGACTGCCTCCACCATTTTCTGGGGCAGTAAGGGACAATGTATTTAGTCACACACATCTTTAAATGCAGGGAAGTGTACTGAGAAACCTTTCAATTCAGAATAAGGAAAATGAAAAACACAGAGCCATGTTGTAGATCTTTTTATTCCCACCTCTGGTTGGGTTATAACACAGCACTAAACCAGGATTCAGGACCTACTTCCGGGGCTTGAGCCACAGAAATGTGGTGAGTGACACATATCCAGGGAGAATTATTCCCCTAACCCTGGTTCTTAGACATCGAGAGAGGCCCATGAGAATGTATCTGATAGTCTGAAGTTGTAAAATTTTAGAACTGTATGATCTGGCTTTCTGCTCCTCAGTTTCTGCAGGACATGGGCCTTCACCCTTTACTACGATAGAGCCTCAAACCCCAAACACACTGATTAAGCTGCTGACACTGTTTCCTCCCCCTTCTGCTCCATGAGTGATGCCAGTCCAGCCAGGTCAGAGGGGAGGATTTTCATGTATTGTGGCTGAGATAAAAGCCATTTTATCCCAGGGATACAGCAGGTAGAAGGCAGTCTATAACATTTATGCCAAATCCCACTGCCCAATAACTGCAGTTTATACTTTATCATGAGGTAACTGCCTCCAGACACATAAGCCCTACAAGTTGTCTAAAATCAGAGCCTGGGAGTGAAGTCCACCTCCTCTTTCTCCCCAGACAGCCTCTCAGAACGCCATGTAGTAGTGCTCCATGGTGCTGACGATGTCACTCTGGTCCTCCAGGAGCTCTAGCACCTGCCGCAGCACAGCTTCGCTCAGGCCTGGGCTGAGGCTCAGGCGAGCACAGGCCAAGATGTGCAGGAAGTGGCAGCCCTTCTCCACGTCTGCAGGAAAAGAGGCAGGTGGCCAAGCTGAAGCATGCCTGTCGGGCCCTCCTCTCTGTCCTTCCCGCCCCCCCAAGTGGAAGCGTTATTAGCTCCTTGCTATTCACAGTGTGGACTGAGGACCGGCAGCATCAGCATCACCTGGGAGCTTGTTTTAAAATGCAGAATCTTAGGCCCTCCTCATGTCTCCTGAATCAGAATATGCATGTTAACAAGCTCCTCAGATGATTCCTGTGCACACTGAAGTTGAGACACACGAGCCTAGATTATCAGCAAAAACACAACACAACAAATACAGCCGTTCTTGGTCCCATTTCACCATAGTCACAATGATCACTGTTTGGTATTTAGATCTTCGACCACCAAAGAATCCCAATCGATTTTATATCCAGTGGGTTTTTAGCCCTTGATCATCTTTTTCTCTAATGCAGTGACATGTATAAGTTCATCTATTTAGTGTTGACCCCTAGCTTCCCAGGTGGGAGGATTCACAGCAGAGCAGGGTGACAGTGGCTCCATCATTTTTTCTGCAAGTCCTAATTTGATGGGGCCACCATAGAGACAAAGGGATCCCTACTTTTGGCCTGTTCTGATTCCTGTCATTGAGCTAAGAAGTCTTGGCTATGATGGATAGGTCCTAAAAACTTCTTACCCTCTACCCAATACTAAGACCATGTAGTTTACAGTGATACAAATTCAGGGTTTAATAACTTTTCCTAGTTGATATCAATGATTTAGGCAGTAATATTTACTGAGGGTTGTGATCATTAGTGGGTCATCAAATCAGTGGGTTGTGGTTTACCTTTTCTTCCCTTACAAAACAGAAAAATACCAAATGTATTGCATTCCATTTAGAAAAAGCATTATATTTTGAAACTTTTATTTCAATTATATATATGCATATTACTTGTGGAATATAATTATTAATTTATTGGGTCATGATGTCAAATGTATTTCTAACTCTGAGTAAAAGTCAAACCTGATTCTTAAATAGAAGCCCTCCAAGTCTCCACACTTTAAAGCTCTGGGGCAGGGCCAGGCTTGGGCTCTCACCATTGCAAACCTAGCACCTTGCCCACAAAAGCTGCTCAAGACAGTCACACAATGTTATATTCAGATGATCAAAGAGGTATTGTGGTGTTGGGCGAAGCATGGTTTGGGATTCAGGGGACTTTGTGGCCTTGGGCAGGTCATACTATGCCCGAACCTCAGTTTTCTCACGTGGCGGGGGGTGGTCTGGAGGGCACCACCTCTGAGGTCCCTTCCAGGTCTAAGGTTCACAGGCAGTGGTCTATGGCTAACAAGATCTGCTAAATTCTGACCTCTAGTGGCTACATCAACTCATTATTCCTCCCAATTGGGGTTACGGTTGGAAATCTTGCCACCGCCACTGGACTCCACATTTACAGGTTTTCCTCTTCAGCATTCATCCAATAAAGATTTAGCGAACGCTTACTGTGTGTGTAGTGCTGAGTGAGGGGAGGCAATAGAGAGCAGTAGGTGGAGGGCTGACTCTGGGGCCAGACCTGAATTCAAGTCCTGACTCTGCTATGGGTAAACTGCTTCACTTCTCTCTGTTTCCTCATCTGTAAGATGGAAATAAAACCACCTAGCTCGAATGGTGATTGTGTGGATGAAATGAAACCCTAGTAGGTGCTTCTTACATGGTGGAATTAATACAATTATACCATAATATCCATAGCCTAACAAGACACATCTTAGGTAGTCACTGTTCTAAAGAAGCTTCAACTCTCTGAAGAAGAAAGACTCACAGAGAGGAAAAGCTAAACACAAGGGAGGGCGGCAAATGGTTGGTGATGGAGGGTAGATAAGGAATGACTTCAACGAAACGGGGCCCTACACACAGCACAGAAGAGAATGCCAGGACTTTAAGCCGCTCGGCTTCTCCATACCTCAGTGCTTACAAGGCCTGGCAGTTCAGGTTCAGGGCTCGAGATGACTGACAGGCATGTGCAGCGCCCCAAGGAGTGATGCCGCCTGTCCTATTGGACTTAAACTGTTTCTTCGGAAAGCCCATTCTGTTGTCTGAGGGTTGTCTGGTGAGGCTGGTCAGTAGAGTGACCTTCCAGTCACATGTGGAATATGAACTTAGACCATTTTTTAAATATAAGAACAGACTTCGAAATAGGAAGAGTCATAAAAGTGATTCCAAAATAGGAAAAGTCGAGCTCCTAGCTATAAGCACAGATATCATTTAACTCTCTGTGGGACAAACCCACAATCTGCAGACTGACTCTTCTGAAGGTGTTTAGCCAGACAGACGTGCTTATCTTAAAATGAATCTCGAATTGCAATGATAACTGTGCCTTATATTTTCAAATATTTTTACATATAGCCTCATTTGATAATGTAGCTTCCCCAAACCCAAACATAGCTAGTGATGTTCAAAAGATCCCAATCATTTTAAGATAAACTTTGGGATACAACCTACTAACTATGAAAGGTTGGGAACATGCTTAATGGTATCTTAAAAGGATTATAATAATTTAATAGACATCCTTCTAATATGAGTAGTGTCATGTGATCTTCAGTTTCCATAAAAAGCAGTTGTACTATCTGGGGCACAGAATGAATCTTTTTGAAAAGCTAATAGTTAAAGTTATCATCTACGGAAATGCTGCCATTTCAGAAGTCATCAAATGCTAATTTTCTCAGGTGTGAAACAGAGAAATGTCCCTATTTTTAAGAGATATAAGCTGAAGTTCTTAGTGACTCTAGGTAAAGGGTATATGGGTGTTTGTTGTACTAGTCTTTCAACTTTTCTGTAGGTCGGAACATTTTCAGAATAAAAAGTTGGAGGTAAAAAGACATCTTCAATGTGGAATTCTTTCTTTTTGGATAATGTGCCATTGTTGTACCCCATACCTAAAGCCAAATTTCAGATCTTTAACTTTAGCCCAACAAGAATAGAGTAACATCCACACATAGATTCTAAACCTGCTTCCTTCCAGATCAATATTAAACCAAACAGAGTGAGCATCTGGGTCTCCACTCTAGAGAGCTAAGGGCTACCACCTGTGCCATTAGGCCAGAAAACTTTATATTTATTTAGCCCGTTATATTTCTAACTATATGCTGACAACTCTTTTAACAGTTTTATAAGCACCAATTCACTTAATCCTCATAACAACCTATGATATAGGTACTATTATCCCTATTTTGCATATGAAGAAACTGAGGCAGAGACTTATCTAAGGTCCCACAGCTAAAGGTGGCCAGATTGGGATTCAAACCCAGGCACAATGGCTTCAGAGACCAGCTCTTCACGACTATGCCACACTGCCCATCTTTACACCAATCTGGTTTGAATACTTTTGGAACTTAAAACAGGCCTGATGTTTACAGTCCTTCCATTTTTGTAGGTTTAGCCTTTGCTGAGACTCATCAATGTCAAAAGATTTCAAGTCATTCTATCGCTCATCCAGACAAAGAAAAACTCATGCTATATTGTTGTATGAAAGTTTAGAAATGAACTAAAGGCCAAGCAGGAAATGGTTAAATAAGTGGCAGAATATCTCTCTATACATATAATGGAATATCGTGCAGCTATTAAAAAGACTTTTATATGTACTGGTAGTGCAAACAGTAAACCTGCTTGGCTGCTAACCGAAAGGATGAAAGTTCGAGTCCACTCAGAGGTGCCTTGGAAGAAAGGCCTGATGATCTACTTCTGAAAAATCAGCCACTGGAAACTCTGTGGAGCACAGTTCTACTCTTACAGACATGGATTCTCCATGAGTTGGAGTCAATGCAATAGCAACTCTTGGTTGTTGCCGAATAACCTCTAGAAGCCAATAATAAAAAATATAAGGTGTGCAACACTATATGCTAACTTTTATTGTTTTTTTTAAAAAAGGAAAATCGATACAAGTATACTTGTAGATGCATATAATATCTCTGGAAGGATATGCAAGAAACTAGTACTAACCACTGCCTTTGGCAAGGGGAACTTAGAGTCCAGGGGTCAGTGTTGGGAAGAAGTTCGAAATTTCTGTGTGTACTTTGGCACTGTTTGACTTCTTACCGTGTACATATATTATTATTCAAAACAATTTTTCTAATGCCATAGATGTTTCCTATGAAAATAAATGGTAGCAGAAGCTTCCAAGAGAGTCACCAGAGGGTATTTTTGCAGGCATTCTCAGTTACTCCTACTCCAAATCAGCTCCTGAGAGTTTATCAGCTCCAAGTGACTGGCTTATGGCTTTCAGAGGCAGCTCCCACTGATGGACAGAGGGGCAGAGCCCGTCCATTTTGACACACACACTCCCCTGAGCAGGAGCTGGCCTGGGAGTTCATTAGATGTGGATATAAAACCTGCCACTTTCATGGTCCCTCAGGTCACACAAGCTGTTGGTTCCCCTAAGAGATGAGGTATGAATTCCGTTCATTTGCCTCACCCAGCCCTAGGCTCATGTCAATCAATTCTGTTCCTAATGCAAATCAAGTAAGAATCCAACCCAGGGGCCTAGTCACCAATATTATCTCAAGAACCGCCTCTCATCCCTTCTTGGCTAAGGAATCCCACATTTCACTGCTGTTAAATGTGCCTTAAATTGTGGTAGATGTCCACATGAACCATGGCTTCTTCTAACTTGAGACCAGAAGAACTGGATGGTACTTGGCTACCACTACCAACCGTTCTGACCAGGGACACAATAAAAGGTCCCAGATAGAATGGGAGAAAAACACAGAACAAAACTCAAATTCCTAAAAAAGACCAGACTTACTGGACTGATAGAGACTAGAGGAACCCCGAGACTATCGCCCTAACATATGCTTTTAACTTGGAACTGAAGCCACTCCTGTAGGTATCCTTTCAGCCAAATAATAGATTGGATTATAAAACAGACAATATCACCCGTGAGGTATGTGCTCCCTTAGACAATCAACTATAGGAGACCAAAAGGTCAACGTTTACCCAAAAGCAAAGATGAGGAGGCAAGGAAGGGCAAGGAAGCTAGATCAATGGAAACAGAACAAACACAAAGGAAATAATGGAATGCTGGCACACTGTTAAGATTGGTAAAACTATAACCAATATCATGGAACAATTTGTATAAAAATTGTTAAATGGGAACCCAATTTGCTGTGGAATTTTCACCTAAAACACAATAAAATATTTTTTTAAAAAAATTGTGGTAGATGGTCTTTCCCTAGACTAAAGGGTACTTATTCTTATTGATCTGAATGAACCAAAGGACAGCCAGAAATCCTTGCATTGAAGTAATAGATTGCTTCAAGTTTATTTTAAGACCTGTTGTCACACCACCCTGGGATCTGACCTCGTTGATTTTGAAATGGCTAAATAGGGCGGCATACCATAAATGCCAGGGCTGGAAACCTGGCCCAGCTCTACCCTCTGACAAGCCTGGACTGAGCCCAGGACCCAGGGATGAGTGGGCTGAAAGGACTGGAGGTGGACTTCTCTGGAGAGAAATAAAGCAGGGACAAGAGACCTGCAGTCATTCACCACCCTTTCCACTTGCTTCTAGCATCATTTGTGGACATACGTCAACATACATTACTAGCGTATGTTTGCAAAAGATAGTGATTGACTCCCTGAGGGACTGAATTGCTGCGCGGAGGGCTGTGGGGACCATGGTCTCGGGGAACATCTAGCTCAATTGGCATGACACAGCTTACAAAGACAATGCTCTACATTCTACCTTGGTGAGTAGTGTCTGGGGTCTTAAAAGCCTGTGAGCAGCCATCTAAGATACTCCACTGGTCTCATCCCTTCGGGAGCAAGGGAGAATGAAGAGAACAGGATACAAGGAAAAGATTAGTCCGAAGGACTAATTGTCCACAGCTACCAAGGCCTCCACCAGACTGAGTCCAGTACAGCTAGATGGTGCCCGGCTACCACCACTGACTGCTCTGACCAGGATCACAACAGAGGGTTCTGGACAGAGCTGGAGAAGGATGTAGAGCATAATTCTAACTCACAAAAAAAAGACCAGATTTACTGGCCTAAAGGAGACTGGAGAAACCCTGAGAGTATGGCCCCCAGACACCCTTTTAGCTCAGTGGTGAAGTCACCTCCAAGGTTGACTATTCAGCCTGGGAGTGGACAGCCCCGTAAAACCAAATGAGACTAACGAGGTACAGGAGTCCAGTGACAAGGGCCAGGAGGCAGAAGGGGACAAGGAAGCTGGTGATAGGGAACCCAAGGTTGAGTAATGATACTGTTGAGGTGAGATTGTTAACCATTGTCATAGGGCAACATTTGTAGTAACTGTTAAATGAGAAACTATTTTGTTCTGTAAGCCTTCATCTTAAGTGAGAATAACAGCACAATTAGAAGAGCGTAGTCAATGTCACTGAACTGTGCATGTAGAAATTTTTGAAATGGTGTATCTTTGGCTATGTGTATTTTCACCAAAAAAAAAAAAGGTGAGAAGTTAGAGGGTTGATATGTTGTGGGGTTGTTAACCAATGTCATAAAACAACATGTGTACTACTGTTTCATGAGAAACTATTTGTTCTGTAAGCCTTCACCTGACGTACAATAAAGAAAAAAAAATAAAAAAATAAAAAGATAGTGTTTGAAAAGTCACCTTTAAGACTTACCAGTTTACACAAGTATTTAAAGATAGGAATAATAATGCTTTCTCCTCTTTCTAACCAGTGTGAAAATGGTAGTTTCTGTCACACTATCTACAGTTTGAGTTTCTAACCACTAGGGGCTGACATTACTCCACAAAAACTTCTAATCATCAGTTTCCAAGATGGCTGAATTAAACTGTTCACAAACTCTAAAGACTAGAACCATTCCTCCCAGCACTGAAGGGCCTTGATTTTAGAAGAGAGGGAAATGTCAGCTTTGGAATGAAAGACAATGAGCAAGAGTGAACCAGAAATAGCCGTATCAGAATCACCTAGGGAGCTCACTGGTCTAGCCCCCACTCACCTCTACTGAATCAGAACCCAGGGGTAGGACCTGGGTACCTGTAGGTTTAAAAAGCTCCAAGATTGAATCTTATTTGCAGCCAAGGTCAGAACGACTGTGCTAGCCCAACACTTATCACAGAGAAGAGGAAACTGAGGCTCAGAGAGGGCAGGTACCTTGACCAATCACCCCCCACCCCAAGTCACTATGGGAGAAAGCTCCAGGTCTCCAGCTCTCCATCCACTGAGAGGGACCGTCCTCTGCCAGTGCACCAGGGCGTCACACATATGTTACCACCACTTACGATTTGGTTTCTGGCAGTCTTCTTGAATAATACGGTGGATCTTTCTGTGCAGTTCTTTGTCTTCTCTGGTTACCTAAACAGGAAAAACAGTTCCAAGAGAAAGGGTTCTTAAGTAACAGACATTGTGTCATCCAGACTCCCAAATTAGTATTTAGGATAGTTTGTGAAGATTTCATTATGATAGTCATCCTTCCCACACCAAAATGCAGTTTTCAATACTTGGCATATTGTCAAACCAGTTCTGTCCCTAAGCAGCTCACCACTCTGCAGTTGGCCCAGAGGCAGAGGCACAGCCCTGTAGGAGCTAGTTCACCGAGGCTATGATGTAAAGAAAACTGGAATTCTGTACTTTTAAAGAGCAACTTTCTTCTTAAATGTTCATAACACATTCATCAAAATTTTCTTATTTGTTGGTTAGACAGATAGACAGACAGACAGGCAGACAGATTTTTGAGGGAGGCGCAATGATCAAAATCTTGATATTTACCCCAGAGGACTTCTTCCTCTGGTCCCTGACACCTGTCGTGTGTCTCATTACTTTTCTTCCTTCTCCCAAACACAATGGAAAAAAAAAAAAAAGTAAGGAAAATCTAGCAAGAGAGTAAATAGCCTATCCACTGAAACAATTTTTGTTCTTAAAAGCAACAGAACCCAGTTCCTTTCTCAACCAGCTCAGCAACCCAGTGGGTTTCACCTTCACATTCAATGATAAATCTAATAACAAAAAAAGAAAAAGAAAGAGAAAGGGAGGGAGAGAGGGAAGAAGGAAGAAAGAAGCATGTAAACAAACACAGCTGGAAGTTTCCACATAGAAAGAGCCCAGGAATGCTTGCCTGACCAGACTTACAGAATGAGGATGTTGATAACGCCTGCCTTTTCTCAACTCACAAGGTTATTGTGAAGATTAAACAAGGTAATGTGTGTGACAGCTGGAGAGCATTATACAAATAGAAGTACTGGTATTATATGATAACAATTTCCCTGCAGGAGGGCCTCAGGAGAAAGGAAACCTACAAAGCCAGCCAGTGGAAGGGGAAGAGTGAACTCAGATAAGGGGCCTGTGATGCTGGGGAAAGAACTAATATGGCTAGATCACCCTATTCCAACTCATAATGATTCACAGGAGGAAGTGGCCCAGCCCTGCCACACCTTGGCCCTGGCCTGCTTTCTGCAGCCCTGCTGCTCCTCAGGAAGAGTTCCCCTCTACAGACCAGAAGGGAGGCTGTCCAGAAGCTGCAGGGGATGTGTGTCCCAGAGGAGAGCATGTGGTGGGCTGTGCAGGGTGTGCCGCCTCACAGGAGGCAACTGATTCCCACCAGGCCTGCCCCATCCTGGAAGGGACGGAACTGTGCTCACCTCTTACACAGATTGGAATACTGCTTTCAAAATGTATTCAAATAGTATTTAAAACATACCCTAATATTTAAAAACTCTCTAAACTTGGGAATCACTCAGGCAACTCTACACCAGGAAAATGTCCCGGTAAGGAAGGCTTCCCCTCAGGAATCATCCCTAAGTGATGTGACTTCTGGGATGCCTCAGAGCTCTGGTCTGTCTCTAGGAGAATCACACTTAAATGCCACCACCAGCAGTGGTCACATGGAGGCCAGTTTTCAGCTTGGTTCCTCCAATATTGAAGGTATGTAGTGAGACGGCAGTGGGTTTGGTTTCTTTAGTGAGAGGTGAAGAGCCCTGGTGGTACAATGGTTAAGCACTCGGCTGTTCACTGAAAGGTCACCAGTTTGACCCACCAGCTGCTCTGTGGGAGAAAGATGTGGCAGTCTGCTTCTGTAGAGATTTACAGCCTTGGAAATCCTATGGGGCAGTTCTAATCTGTCCTATACGCTGTGAGTTGGAATCGACTCGATGGCAACAGGTTTGTTTTTTGTTTTTTTTAGTGAGAGGTGATGAGTTTCTGGGTGGTGCAAATGATTAATGCACTCACTGCTAGTTGAAAGGTTGGAGGTTCAAGTCCACCCAGAGATACCTTGGAAGAAAGGCCTGGTGGTCTACTTCCGAAAAATCAGCCTTTGAAAACTCTATGGAGCACGGTTCTACTTTGACACACATGAGGTTGCCATGAGTTGCAATCAACTCTCTGGCAACTAGTTTAGTGAGAAGTGAATTTTTAACTCTAACAGGTAAACAAGCATTCGTACTCCTGGTGGGAATGTCAAATGGTACACCCTTTTGGGAGGCCAATCAAGCTGTGCCGACCAAAAGCTTAAATGTACGTACCCTTTGATCCAGCAATTTCCCTTTCTTCTTACAGAAATATTTACATAAGCTCACAAAGATAGTTGTGCCAAAACAGCCAAGCAACAGTATTTATGACAGCAAAAAGTTGGAAACCTAAAGTCTATCAAAATAGGAATAGTTAAAAACTTATGACAAGCATCGATCAATTGGAATACCAGGTTAAGTGTTCTAAAAAAAATAAATAAAGGAGGTATATTTATAAGTACCAAACGTAAAGATGCCCGTGATGTCAGATTTTGGCTCATGACTTAGAGCTGGTTCTCAACTGTCCCAGGGGACATTTGTCAATGTCTGGAAACATTTTTAATTGTCACAGCTGGGAGGTGCTGCTGGCATCTAGTAGGTAAAGGTCAGGCATGTTGCTAAACATCCTGCAATGCACAGGGCAGTCCCCCACAACAAAGAATCATCAGGCCCAAAATGCCAATAGCGTTGAGGTTGAGAAAACTTGATTCAGAGCAGGATCGCATTTTTTATAAAGCAAAAAAGCCACTGGAGCATATATTTGTATACCTGCATTTGTAAATAAATGCACAGGATAAATCTTTAGAAGGACATATCATTAAAAGTGGCACTTTAGGAGAGATAAGGGTAGATTTTGCTTTTTACTTTATGTATCTCCTTAATGATTGTTTTTTTAAAACAATACAACCAAACCAAACCCGTTGCTGTCAAGTGAATTCCGACTCATAGAGAACCTATAGGACAGAGTAGAACTGCCCCATAGGGTTTCCGAGGAGCAGCTGGTTGATTCAAACTGCCGACCATTTGGTTAACAGCCGAGTTCTTAACCACTGCACCATCATAGATATTTTTAAATAATATATTTGTGATTGGAGCTATGAGGGGGAGAAAAAAAAGCTGCAGGTCTCTTACGTAGTAGAGATTATCAAAACCATCTTCTTTCTGGAAAACAAGTCCCTTTTCCTGAAGCAGCTGTATAGCGTTCTTAAATATACTATGAATTGCCTGGGAAGCGGTGTCATTCTTAAAATCCACCTGTTGGAAGAGAAAAAAGAAAAAAAAACACAGAAGGAAGTAAGGCTAACAGTTCTACTTTACATAACCTGAGAGCAATTTCCTAGACCAACTGGTTTAGGAACTCGCCTGATATACTTATGCATCTGCTGAGTCAAAAAAATCCAGGTATGCGCAGGCCTAGCAAGGATGGTATTTAAGGAGGACAGAAGTTTGCTCTGGCAGAATCATTCTTGATAACTGCTCCACAACTTAGTTCTGATTTTCTTGTTTAATTCTGTGATACAGAGTATAAAATGAAAAAGCTACTCTTCACTGGTATACAATCTTTCATGTAGTTTTTAATACAGACCCAAGCATTGAGGTTGTTAGTGGTTCAATGGCAGAATTCTTGCCTTCCATGTGGGAGACCTGGGTTTGATTCCCAGCCAAATTACCTCACGGTCTGTCAATGGAAGCTTGTGTGTTGCTAAGATGCCGAACAGGTTTCAGCAGAGCTTCCAGACTAAGACAGACTAGGAAGAAAGGCCTGGAGATCCACTTCTGAAAATCAGCCAGTGAAAACTTTATGGATCACAATGGTCCGATCCACAACTGATCATGGGGATGACGCAGGACTGGGCAGCGTTTTGTTGTGCATGAGGTCACCGTGAGTTGGGGGCAGCTAAAAACAACAACAAACATTGCATATATATTATCTCCTTTCTTCGTTGGAATTTTGGCTATATACAATCTCTTTCTAAGGACTTTAGAGAAATTTACACACTTTGAAATAATCTGGGAGTCCAGCGTGTTGTCAGTGTCAAATCTTATTTTAAATGGAGAATGATGGAGGTAAACAGCTAGCTGTAAAGAAACCTGTCCAGGGCGGGTCCCTGAGGCTGATGGTGGAAAGAAGTCCTGGAGTGAAGCAAAGAACACTACACAGAAGGAGCCTTTGCTGCGATCAGTTTTCTATCTCCTCCCTTTCAATGCTTCTTCTCTAAGAGATGGGTTTGCTCAAAGAAGTACCAGGTCATCCCATTTCTTATTCCCAACATGGTCTTCACAGGACATATGAAACAAGCTAGGTTATTAGCTATGTCCTACACAGTTAACTCAACTGTGTGCTGCTTGATCAGGCACTTTGTTTTCATCTCGGTCACCTCCTCTTGGTTACCTGCTCCCAGGCACATGGGGGGCAACCAACAGAGATTTGTGAAATGAATGGAAATACTCCATTAGAAATACTGCATCCTTCTTGTTATTCCACTGGGTATTTTCAGTTCATTCTCAAAACAAAGAAAATGGTGACAAAACAGTTGTCCTGGGAGATAAAGATCCATTTTTAATGTGAAAGAAATTTGTCAAGACGTCATGCAGAACACAGCTCCAAAGAAATGCAGCAAAATGTCCAAAAAAGTATTTGAAGGCAAAGTCCTAGCTGTCATGAAAAGTCATGAAGGCTGTCTGGGAAAGCACCCAGAGGTGCTGAAAAAGAGTGTGGGTGAGATGCGCTGATGACATTTTCTCAAAGGGGAAGGGAAAGGAAAGAACCCCCTAGATGGTCTCAAGTGTCGACAATTCTATTCCTAAATAAACACTCTTTCTAGAAGACATCTCCCAAACAGGCATTTTATTAATCTAACAGATCCTAGCAATGTTGCAAAAACATGTTCCCTGGGCTGAAGACGACAGTCCAACACTCTTGATTAAATTGTCTACATTTTTCCTTAACAGAACAAGCTGGAGAACCTGATCGTTAGAGCATTAGGACCTAAAAGGTGGTAAACATTCCAAGTTATGATAGCACTCATTCTCTGTAAGGAGAATAAGGCTGAGAAATATTTGACGACTCCCACAGGCAGAAAAGCTATTTGGGTATGTTTAGAATAAACACTTCACCTAGTAATGCTCAGCCACGTATCTTTTGATTCAAGGGGGCTTAAGGCAAAGCTATTTTTCATTTTGCAACATGAGTGCTCTTACTTAGGTGGAGCACAATCAACCTAATAGACTCCTTAACAAGCTTTGTAACAACTACTTAATCTTCATCGTTCCAAGATGATTTGCCATTTTAACTCAATTTAACATAAGAATCCTAAGGGTTGAGTTTATTACATCTCTCACTGAGATAGAAATATTGGAAACTAACTAGCAGTGATTGTCACATGATTATTGCTGTTGTTAACTGCCACTGAGTTGGCTCCTGACTCATGGCAACCCCATGCCCAACAGAACAGAATATTGTCCAGTCCTGCTCCATCCCCATGATCAGTTACAGATCAAACCATTGTGATCCATAAGGTTTTCACTGGCTTATTTTCAGAAGTAGATCACCAGGACTTTCTTCCTACTTTGTCTCAGTTCAGAAGCTCCGCTGAAATGTATGTTCAGTATCATAGCAGCACACAAGCCTCCACGGACAGATAGGTAGTGGCTGTGCATGAGGTACATTGGCCAGGAATTGAACCCACGTCTCCCACACGGAAGGCGAGAATTCTACCACTAAACCATTACTACTGTCATTAAAAATGACCCTTGGTTGTCCCCATACCATACAAAAAGGCTGGTTCCTCCTTCCAGATTTCAAAAAGGCCAAGTAGCAAGCAGAGAGTGCTCTAGGCCTGGGGGATTAAAAACACAGTTTGAGCTGTGAACAGGCAGGGCTCGACAGAAAAAGCTCTCTGTAAATATAAACAATATGTGAAGCTTCCTTTCCAAAAATATTTGCCTCAGCTGACCTTGGACATATTTCCCTGGCCTGGTTAGAAAGACCACAGTCTCAAGGGTAAAGCCTCCAATCTTCTCTTCTAAGCAGTAGCTTTTCCTGGACTAAAATGGGATTTGTGTCCTTCTTGTCTTTTTCTACAGAGCAATGACAGACTCCTCTGACTCAGGAAACTGAAACTGCTCACAGGTAAAAGCAACTAGGGGCTGAACCTGCTGAGCCTGACAGAGCCTCTCCTGTCTTAGGTCAGGAACTGGGTGGATCTCTGAAGTATATATAGTCTTCATTTCCAAACAAACTCAACATCCATCTAGCTGTCACAGAAACAATGGCTTTGCAAGTTCTGCTTATCATGTTTCTGTATTTGCTAAGAAAGGCCACGGTGGGAAAAAAAGAAAAAAAGAAAAGAGTTGTTAACATTCAAGCTCGTTCTCCCCCTGCCTATAAACTATAACACCATCACCATTGTTTTTTGTTATGGTTTCATCTGTATGACAACAGAAAATGCCAAAGGATCTAGGGTTTCCTCATCACTGTAAAGTATCTTTATTCTTCTAGGGCTCCATTAAACAGAATTTAATTTCATGATACTGACCTCCCCAACCAGAACAATGAGAGGGAATAATTCATAATTGATTGGGAAGTAATTTCCAAAGACAAAACAAATATAGTGCCAAATTCATTTCTTTTTAAACATACAGTTTCTGCCCTAAGCATTTTTAAAAAGACACCATGCCAAAAGCTGCCCATGGATCAGTTTGAATGGAAGAGCCTTTTAGTCCTCCAGAGTCATTTAAGTCTCTACTTAATTGCAGATATCATAGAACAAAGAGCTGGTTTAACGAGAAGAATGTCTTCGCTAAGCTTTGTTTCCTTCCAAACATGCCGGATGGAATCCTCAGAAGCCCTCGGAGGTCAATTTGGCAGTGAGCCTCCTCTAAATGATTAAATGTGGAGAAGGTCAATCTTGCTGTCAATGGACAGCTGGAGGGCTGCAACTGTTTAGAAGCAACCCGGGAGACAATAAAGTGCCCTGTCGTGACCTCTGTGCCCGGTGTTTCCTGAAACGCTATCCCTCAACTCCATGTATGAAATCGTGGGTCACTGAGCACACAGCTTGCCAGGAAGAGGTAATGAGGTGTGCTCACGAAACTGAGAAGCAGTGATGGTGCCTAGGAGGTTGAAATGGTGACTCAATATCTGTCCCACCAGAATCAAGACGAACAACTTACGTGACCTGACAAGGGTAGGCAGAGAAGCCCTGTTGGTAATGGCGAAAGACTGGAAAACATCTCAACAGTCGAGCAATGGTGAGATTGGTTAAATAAAGTATGGTACATGTTAACAAAAGACTATTATATAGTGGTGAATCTGTATGTACGGCTATGAATGGATTTATAAGATAAATACTGTTCAGTGAGAAACTAGGCATAGGTTAGCGTTTAGCATGCTATCATTTGTGTTCAAAAGAAGAGCACACTATTTATAGTTTTATATGCACAGACCTTCTACAGAAGGATAGTCAAGAGATTAGTAATGGTGCTTGTCTCTAGGGACGGGGACAGGAGGGAGGATGGGAAGAAACCTTACTTTGAATTATATAGTTTCTACCACCATTTGAATTTTTTAAAATTGTGGTAAAAATATATATTGCCAATTCAATGTTTTACATGTACAATTCAGACACGTTGATTACATTCATCATGTTGTATGCAACCATCACCAGTATCCATTGCCAATTTGTCTATCATCATTAACAGATACTCAATGCTTTCTAAAATCATTTGAATTTCTAAAAACCACTCATTCCTGTGGACAGCCCAGTAAAACCATGAGAGTAACGAGGTACAGGAGTCCAGTGACAAGGCCCAGAAGGCAGAAGGGGAGTAGGAAGCTGATGATAG